GACTCGAAATGAGTTTTAATTTGAAATTTAAAAATTATTTGCTCAACCAAACATAACATGGTCGACTCAACAATTAATGCGATCAATCTTGGCTAGGTTATTATCAAGATCAAGCATTATTGTTTTAATAAAAAATAATTTATTTTATTATTAATTTAATTAAGTTTTATTGGTTTAATTAGATCACTAATTAAATTAATCAAACTAATATCTTGTCTAATTAAATTAAAATTTTGATCAAGAAAAAAGCTCTAAATCTCAAAATTTTCAAACCAACCGGCTACCCTATGTTTTGTCATATCGGTTTAATAGTTATGGTTTATCATATAGATGAATCCGACGACATCCAGGTAAGTTTAATAGCAAATCAACGGTCCATATTTAATCTCCCAAAATCTCTAAAAAGGAAGCAAATTAAGCATTTCTATTGGTCACTCAACCGAGCAAGTATATGGCGATCCTCACCACGCTTCCCTAAACATTCACAACCGCGGATCCCTTCAAAATCCACGGTCCAGAAAGTCTCCCCAAGAGAAAAGGTAAGGAGCTCCAAAAGATGAAAAACAAGCCCGCCTAAAATAAGCAATCCTATCGGATCTCCATCACAACCGTCCTTTGGCTTCCAGATCAACGGCTCAAATCCCATTCCACTGTCTCCTTCCTTCCTCCCTCACCTCTCCCCTCGCCTTATAAAAATCGTCACAACCTACTATCTCTACCCACCAAAAACACTCAAAATACATCTTTCCCTCGTTTACTCGAGCAAGAAACAGAAGCCTGAAACCCCATTTTCCCCTTACTTATTTCAATGGCTCGCACAAAGCAAACAGCAAGAAAATCCACGGGAGGAAAAGCCCCAAGGAAGCAGCTAGCCACCAAGGCAGCCAGGAAATCAGCTCCAGCCACCGGAGGAGTGAAGAAGCCCCACCGTTTCAGGCCAGGAACAGTGGCGCTGAGAGAAATCAGGAAGTACCAGAAGAGCACTGAGCTGTTAATAAGGAAACTGCCATTTCAAAGGCTGGTGAGGGAAATTGCCCAGGATTTCAAGACAGACTTGAGGTTCCAAAGCAGTGCCGTAGCAGCCCTTCAAGAGGCAGCAGAGGCATACCTTGTTGGGTTGTTTGAGGATACCAACTTGTGTGCTATTCATGCTAAGAGGGTCACCATTATGCCTAAAGATATCCAGTTAGCCCGTAGGATTAGAGGAGAGAGGGCTTAGTGAAGTTGGATCGGCAACATCTGCTGAGATCCCTTTCGTTTAGCAGATTGAGCATATTGGGCTTGCTTCATTGTAAATCCTTTCAGGATTTAATCCGAAATTATCTTAGCGGATGCAATATTTATAATCAATGGATTAATTAGTATGTTGATTAATAGACATGCTCAGATCTTTATTGTTTTTACTATGTTATTTAATTGGTTGAATTTACCGGCTCAAGGAGGCTAATTTGTGATGTGGGGTGCTATCTTTATTGTTTTTACTATATTATTTTTTGATGAGATTAATCACCATAACTTAAGCTATTTTATATAAGATATTTTAGGTTTTGTTGAGTTTCTACTAGTTTAGTGTAATGTATAACTTATATAAGGTTTAGTTTCTTTAAAAATTAATATATTTTTTGTTGAGATTAATCACCATAATTTTTTTTTTTTAATTCTTTATAGAGTTAATTTTAAAATCTTGAAAATAAAATAAATGAATTTAAAATTTTAACTCAATCCAAATGTTTTAGTTTTTAATTTGTTAAGAGTAATATAAATATCCTTTCTTTTTTGTCTTGACAAGACAAAGGCACCCTTACGATTTCATAATAAAAAAATGGAAAATTTAAAATTATTATCTTTATTTCATAATCAAAATTTCATAATGGGCTGGGTTGCCCAGGGAAGTTAGTCCAAGAAATCTCCACAAGACGGGGAAAAACCGCCCGTTGCAGGGCAGAGCAACCGTTGACTTCAGTAGAATTTTTCTTTGGTTTCTCAAGTATGCAGTCTCTCCACCATCCTACTCAGCCGCCCCATGTTAAGCAGCAATTCACAAAGAGGTATCCTACTGCACCTAAATTTTCTCCTTGGATGAAACGATTGGTTTGAATCACTTTGATGTTTTTATTTTTCAATGTTTCCATTACTGGGTTTTAAGTGTTTCTTAGGCGAGGAAGCAGAATTTGATAGCCTGGAACTCAACTATATAATTGTTTTATGGTATAGTTCTGTGCTCTAATTGATATATCGGCCTGAAATACATCAGTATAATCGATCGCTTTAGATGTGATATTGGTCCTTGGACTTAGTTCTAAGGCTTTCAAGAACTAGGAGAGTTCACTCGAATGAAATGATTTTTCTAGTTGGATTATGCACAGTGTTACGTACAGACTTCAGAATGCCCTGATCCTTCAGAAAGCTATTTCTAATGCTATCTTAACTTAAGCTTGTAGTAACTGGGATCTCTTGTAATTAATTTCAGTTCTGTTTTCTATGATTCTTCTTATCTTTTTCAGTAGGGTTGAGATAGCAGTTGAGTTCATTTTTTCTTTAATGAAAGATTTAAAGAAAAATTAGAAAGTGTTGTAATTTGTGATTTGCTGATGCTAAAACTAGCAATCATCGCGAGCCGCAGAATGGAGATGATTGGGACATCAAGCGAGAAGATGAAGACAGGCAATCAAGTTTCTATTGATATTTACAATAGTATTTATGTTGGAATATATATATATTAAAGATATTTTTTTATTTTTTAAAAATTATTTTTAGTGTAGTATATCAAAACAATCCAAAACATAAAAATTATATTAAATTTTAACAAAAAAAATTAAAAAAATTTAAAACTTTCTAGGAGCGGAAGTTCAATTGCGTTCCCAATCAGCCACTTGACCATCATAATGAAGACAGAATCCAGTAAGATCATTGTCACAAAGACTTTCCAACTAAGATCAATGGTTTCGGCATAACTATCCCGTAATTCCGTTTCATTCTCCTTGATAATGTTAATTAAATCCTCCACACTTACTGATAAATTCTGTTCGAGAAACTGCTGCAGGTACATTATTTTGAAGTCTTCCATAGCTTTTAGATTTTCCTTACCACGGTGAATTGGGCCTATTGACTACTCGAGGTGTACATGCCTTTTCATTTAACTTCCGCAATCGTTCCGGGACTCTGTAGATGAAGCATGCCTGGGAGAAAGCCTTCTTGATCTTCAATTGCTCCCTCAAGGAATTGGCTAACTCGTTGATATCAAGTGAAACTTCATGGCTGTGATCCATTATCTGCTAGTCAGAACTGGAATAATAATTTTCAAACTGGAATAATATTAGTCATGAAAAACGTACTTAGTAAACAAACTAGAATGCCAATTAAGAGAAGATACTATAACCACAATATATGATTTTATATAATTTTTTATTGTAAAATTTTTTTAAGCTTGAGACTTAAATTAATTTATATGATTTTGTGTTTAATTTTTATTAAATAAAATAAATTATATATTTATAATATTTGGCCATGTTGAACTAACAGCTACATTACAATATATAGACTCACTATTTAGCATCTTATTATTTGGCCCATTTTGTTTAATGTCTACCTTTAAAAAAGTGTGTAGAGATGTTACCCAATTTAAGATAAAGAGGGGAAAAAGAAGAAGACAGCAGCCATATGAAACCACCCTAAAAAAGTATTTCAGTGTTTTTATAAAAATAATAGCGATTTTTTAAAGTATTTTTTATTTAAAAATATATTAAAATAATTTATTTGTTTTAAAAAAATAATTTTAATATTAATATATTAAATTATCCAAAAACATAAAAAAATAATTTTTTAAAAAATTTGATTTTACCGAACCCGTTTGAAACGTAATACCAATCAAGGGGTTAGTATCACTAATAAATTGCGAAATAGCTTATAAGAAAAATCAGGAATTAATCGAAAACCTTATAACGATCGAAGTCAATGCATCTGGGATTACTTAAAACAATAAAAAATGTCAGTAGTTGAGCCTAGAAGAATTTAGCAAAAATCTAATTGTTTTAGAGTGATGAAGTGAGATGATTCAGCTTACTACTGTGAACTTTTGAGTTGGTGACTTTATTGGGACTGTTGTGAGGTTTCCAAGAGCTTTGATGAAGGTGGTAATCTCAACCACCATCAAAAGGAAAGCAAACTAAGGCTCAAAAATCGGTTGCTTCCATGGACTGCACTACTGTTGTTCTAGGCAAGCTGTTTGGGATTGCTGAATGGTGATGATGGTGTTAGGTGCAGGGTTTTGGGTGAATTTTGATGGTGCTTGGAAGGGTTCCGGTGGAGGAAGCCAGTGCTTTGTGTGTTTGTTCAGGGATAAGGCCTGTGGTGCTGTATATTTTGCTGGAAGTGTGTATGGGTGATTTCCATGGAGGTTTTCTGCGGAGGTTTTGATGGGGGAAAATTCCTCACCGCTTCTTATTCTACACAAAATTCCTTGCCAACCTTTTCTGACTCAGTTATTTAAATTATATTATTTTTTACTATATTCTTTTAAGTAAAAATACTTTAAAATTAAAATTAATATTATTTTATATTTGATTTTTATTAAATAAATAAAAATAATAAAATTTAAATTCATAACTACATAATTATTAAAATTTTGATATCACATAAAATTATAAATAAAATTTAAATTTTTAAATTTTTAAATAAAATATTATATATAATTTATATTATTTTTCAACTTAAAATCGCTGAATTTCCGGCCACTTATACTGTTGCCTTTTAATTGCTACCTTCGTGGAAAGAAAGGTGAAAGTGCAACATTTTCCTGTGATGCGATATTGATTCAGAGATTTGTAGAAGATAAGGTAGAAGACTAGAAAAGTTTGTGTGTGAGAAGTTGAAGAGTGCTACGTTTTCCTGTGATGCTACGTTTTACATGGAAATTCTGGTCTGAAATCGACGCTGATTTTTATTCGAGTCCAATTATTCACATTACTTTAAGAAACTCTGTCTAAAACATCATTATATAGAAAGTCTTTATATATTCATAAAAGTCTTTAAATATGCCAAAAAGTGGTTAATATTACTTTCACCTTTCCCCTCTTCGGATTACATTTATAGTTTTCCATTAGCTTACCGATCTCCGGCTCAAATCCCATTTCACTGTCTCCTTCCTTCCTCCTTCACCTCTCGCCTTGCCCCTATAAAAATCGCCAGAACCTCCTATCCCTACCCACCAAAAACCTGCAAATCTCTAACTTTCCCTCGTTTTCTCGAGAAACAAACAGAAACCCGAAACCCCAGTTTCCCAATTCATTTATTTCTATGGCACAAAGCAAACAGCAAGAAAATCCAACGGAGGGAAAGCCCCGAGGAACAACTAGCCACGAAGGCAGCCAGCAAAACTTCTAAAACTGCGGTTGTTGAGAGCTTGTAAGTAGTTTAGTTTCTGTCCATTTGGCTTTTTATGATAGACATCATGTTTTTTTTATTCAAAATAATACTACATGAAAAATAATTTTCTTAAGAGAAATTATCAAAATTATTTGCACTTTCTTTTACAATATATTTTTTTATGATAAAATATCAATTTTTTCTAAACACAAATATACAACTTTATTAAACAAATTTCATATGAAACAATATAATTTAATTAATTAATTTATATCATTTGATACAAATTATGTGGAACAAGGCACGTCGTTAATAATTTTAATGAAAGAAATTTTAATATAGCACTTAATTTGTATCACTTATGTGGTGTGTGTGTGTGTGTGTGTGTGTTACTGGTTAAATTGTTGCTAGTGAAGGCAAACTTAAGGCTGGAAGTTTCATCTCTTTTTTGGGTTTCGTAATTGAATTTGTTTTCTCTGTGGTAACCATTTTTTTGATCTGCTTGTCTTGTTCTCATACTAGCTATCATCTCAATTCAGTCACAGGATGGAATCTGGTCGACCATCAAGTACTAATCATGAGCTGAGTCATCAAGTTCCGCTTGATATTGATAGATTAGCCCAATCCGTGACGGAAGAGCTGGAAATCTCAAATCCTTTCCCCGACACATGGTGTATATATAAAGTTCCTGAGCGATTACGCGAGCTGAACGAAAAGGCCTACACACCTCGATTAGTCTCCATAGGCCCAATTCACCATGGTAATGAGAAGCTAAAAGCCATGGAAGACCACAAAAGAATGTACCTGAAAGAATTCATTGCCAGGACCCAGGTAAGTGTGAAGGGTTTTATTGAATTGATCAAGGACAAGGAAACAGAATTGCGCAATTGCTATGCGGAGACCAATGGATTTAGTAGCGAATACTTCATAAAAATGATATTAATGGATGCTGCCTTCGTCATTATGTTTTTGCTGAAGTGGACTTACAAAGACTTCAGAGGAAGCAGAGACAGCATTTTCTATCCTCCATACAAGAGTGTAGATGTAAGGGTTGATATCTGTTTGCTTGAAAATCAGCTCCCGTTCTTCATCCTCGAGGAGTTGTGTGGACTATCCCCTATATTCTGCAATCCTCCAAAAGCTACACTGATTCGGCTTGCTCATTTGTTCTTTTCAAATGAATGGGGTTCATGGGCAGTAGGGGAATATTTGGGGAGAGTAGATTTCTCCGAAGTGAAACATTTGGTTGACTTTCTTACAATTTATCATCGGCCAACTGAACAGCAACAGTATGGGAAACTCGAGGTTCTAGCCGCACCCAGTTTAAAGGAGCTCCACCAAGCGGGGGTCAAGTTTGTGTTGAGTTCAAGCAAACATCTTCTTGACATAAAATTCGATAGAAATAAAGGGAGACTAGAATTCCCACGATTGCAGTTAGATGACAGAACTGAAATCATAATCAGGAATATGCAAGCCTTTGAGCAGTGCCATGGCTTGAAACATGGTTATGTTGGTGACTATATCTTCTTGATGGGTCTCTTTGTCAGTGCCAGTAAGGATGTGGAAATGCTTGTTGAAAATCGTATTATAGAAAACTGGCTACCGTCTAATGAGGAAGTGGTACAGCTCTTTTACAATCTCAACAAACAAAATAGTGTGTGGTCAGGTACTTTTCTCTTCAAAGGTCTCATTAAAGATCTGAATGCATTCTGCGAAAGGCCATGTAACAAATGGAAGGCAAGTTTAAAGCAAAATTATTTCAATACCCCATGGGCAGCAGTCTCTGTCTCAGGAGCTGTTATTCTTCTCATTCTGACTGTCATACAATCCGTCTGCTCTATACTTCAAGTAGTTTAGCTTCTGCAATTTCATTTCTTTCATGTTGCTCTGTACTCTATACCCATAATCCTTGCTTTCAATAGAAATTCCAAGTTATCTCCTCCAGAGGTCAGCAGTCTCGTAATTGAATTTCTTTTCTCAGTGGTAACAATATTTTTGATCTGCTTGTTTTGTTCTAATACTAGCTATCATCTCAGTTCAGTCACACTCACAGGTATGGAATCTGGTGGACCATCAAGTAATAATCATGAGCTGAATCATCAAGTTTCGCTTGATATTGATAGACTACGCGAGGCACCTGTGAAGGGAGAGCTGGAAATCCCATACGCTCTCTCCACCACATGTGCTATATAAATAAAGTTCCTGAGCGATTACGCGAGGTGAACGAAAAGGCCTACAGATGAGAGAGAGAGAAAACAAACGACCACCATACACTTACATGCTCCACATCATGCGAAAGAAGATATCGTTGTGCAGCTAGGGAGACAGTAGATGGCAAGATTTAACTGTTAGACGACGTAACATGCACTACTTGAATGATACGGATATCACCTGTGTGTATGTTAGAAGTTTTTCTATTAAAAAATTCAAAGAAAACATGAAAATATCAAAATATCCTCAATAATCCTTTTAATTACACAAATACTCATATAAAAATACAAAAACACCCCAAATACAAAGGGTTTTTTGTTCTCTTGTCTTTTTTAAGGTTAAAACACATGATATCATTGTACATGAATAACAGAAAAAACCTGAAAAATCCTTGTCTCGCAACTCAACAATTTTTAATTCCATAACAAAGAAATATTTTTATTGTAAAGAAGTTTGTGAAAGGTCATGAAAATCCTTAATCAATAATTTTACATTTTATTGACCCTGGCTAAAAAAATATTTTATTTGTATAAAAAAATGAAAAAGATGCATACACCTATAAATAATTTTTTAATGACCAATGAATGGAAAAGATAAAATGCCTCAGTAATAAAATTTAATTATACCTTAAGATATTAATTAATAATTTAAGTTAATTTTAAGTTGAGATGATTTTTTTTATAGAAATAATATAATTAACTTTTTAGTTAATCACAATCTTTCTTGATTTTCATCTAAAAGTGCTTGATGTATAATGACTTATGTAAAGAACTCAAACTTTTCTTTCATGAGGTTAAGAACAAGATAAACTTCCTGATTAATCACTTAATCTAGTTAGATTACTCGGATTTAATTTATATTGGTAAGCGAATTATTAAATTACTCGGGTTTGAGTGACTTAACTCCCAATCTAATTTAAAAGTAAACTTAGCTTAAGTTTGATTATGAATTAGCAGGTCACTGAGTCAACCAGCCAACAACCCGGTTGGCTCTGATAAATTTGTCCCAAATCTTGCAGGCTATAAAATAAAAAATCACAAAATCCATCACGTTCCCGCGCAAATAAAGCATTTCCACTGGCTACTTACGCGGATCGCGATCCCGCTAACACTTCTCCAGACATTCACAACCGTCGATTTCTTCAAAATCCGCGGCCCACAAATCTTCCCCGTAAGAAGAGGAGAGGGTCTCCAAATTTTAAAAGAGCCAAAAGGTTTAAGAATCTGAGCCCGCCAGTCAAAAGAATCCTATTGGTCACATCACACGCACACTGATAGCCATCTCCACCGTTCAAAAACTTACAAATCAACGGTCTGAAATATATTTCATTCTTTCCTTCTCCCGCTCACTTTCCCCTATAAAAATTGTAAGAACCTCGTATCTCTACGCATCAAAAGCCCTAACTTTCCCTTGTTTTCTTGAGAAACAAGCAGAAACCCAAAATCCCAATCGCCACTTCACTCATTTCAATGGCTCGCACAAAGCAAACAGCAAGAAAGTCCACTGGAGGGAAAGCCCCAAGGAAGCAACTAGCCACGAAGGCAGCCAGGAAGTCAGCTCCAGCCACCGGAGGAGTGAAGAAGCCCCACCGTTTCAGGCCAGGAACAGTGGCGTTGAGAGAAATCAGGAAGTACCAGAAGAGCACTGAGCTGTTGATAAGGAAACTTCCATTTCAAAGGCTGGTGAGGGAGATAGCCCAAGATTTCAAGACGGATTTGAGGTTCCAAAGCAGCGCAGTGGCTGCCCTTCAGGAGGCGGCAGAGGCATATCTTGTTGGGTTGTTTGAGGATACCAACTTGTGTGCTATTCATGCTAAGAGGGTAACCATTATGCCTAAGGATATCCAATTGGCCCGAAGGATTAGAGGGGAGAGGGCTTAATTGTAAAACATTTCCAGATTAAATGAGAAACTGCATTGCTTAATTTGCTTGATGATTTGTCTTTAAATCTCTTTCTAATCAATCTTGTTCCTAAATGGAAAGGATAGAGCATCTTATGCATTGTATTGATCATACTCCATAGTTCATAGAGACCTAATTGTCCAAAACATTTGATTTTAAGGACTAAAATGTAATATAAGAACATGAAATCTCAAATAAGGACCAATTTGTCAATAAAAATAAAATAGGAAAAAGAAAAATTTAAACCAGACAGCTACCAATATGTTTTCACCACAATAATATCGAACATTTATATATAAATATAAATATCCCCTCCACATTTATGAATGGTCAAGAACAATGTTAAGAGCTGGTGAATCAAATTGATGTATTTTTAAATTTATTAGATGTTTTTGCTAGAACGATATAAAAATCACTTAAAAATAATCAAATCAACGAATTGTTTTATGCTAAGAAGAACTCTCACTCAATCAGGCTGCCAAACGCATAATTAGCCACTTGAGAAACATCTAACAACCCTAGCTGTATGTGATGGCGTTAAGCTCTGGCAACGATACTGCAATGGAGGAACTGGACAAACTTTATCACTCGAGCATTGTATAGATGGTATATTATAGAAGAAGAAGATCATTCTCTCCCTAGGCCTCATCGTAGATTAAAATATGCTGTAGCAATACGTGACGGATTCTTCACATTATGCATGGACCAAGTATTAGGTGTTTAATTAATGGAAGAAAACACAAGCAAATTTGTCTGGATATTATGAACCTTTCAAAGAATAATTGATGCCTAATTCACGGGTTTTGTGTATTGTCTACCCTCTACCATCTAGAATTAGAATGATTCCTCAAATTATTGAATGGATTGTCTTTTTGATATTTCTTGATTTGATAAAAGGCATAATTATGAGCTTGGGATTATACAACACAATAATAACAATAATCCTGATTGTTTTATATATATTTAGAGTTTCCAAACATGATGTCTTTGTTTTTTTAACAACAATTAAAATAATAATTATTTAATTTAAAAAAATTAAAAAAAATGAATGAATTGATGACCAGGTTTTAATCGAGTCATATTCAAATTAATTTAATCATCAAATTAAACTAGTTTTTATCAAATTGATTAGGTTTTTTTATTTTTTATTTTTTAATCCAGACCAATCCAAACTGCTAGGTTTTAAGCTAATCTTAATTTTAAAATATATTTTTACAAATAAAACTAATTAATTATAAATATTTAGATTTTACAAGAAGATAGAGATTTGAGATAGAATTCTTTAACCCGTTAAACACAAATGGTATTATAATTAATATGGTTTAGTAGGCTCGTGATGATTATTAAATGTTTTGGCAAAAATTTTAAATTGTTTTTAAGTAATTTTTAAAAGTGTTTATGATTTTTAAAAATATTAAATTAATGTTTTATAGTGATTTTGATATGTTTGTATAAATTAATGTTTTATAGTGATTTTGATATGCTTGTATAAAAATAATTTTTTTTATATTAATATATTATAAACTAAAAAATTATTTTTCAAAAAATTATGTAATGCAATCCACAAACACCGCAACGCATCAGAATTGGAATCTGCTTTTACGAAGACAGAACAAGCAATACAGGACAAAATCAAAACAGCATACGAGGAAAGCAAGCAGAAAAATACATTGCCTTTTCTACTTTCACCGAGTATTACTCAAAACTTGCAGGATAATGTTGTACCACACACAGTGATGGATTTTTGTGGTCATCTCATAATGAAAAAGAAAGCATGCTTCCTGCATATTGCTGTTCACGCACTTGATTGTATCCCTTTCACAATTTTCTTATTCTATTCTTCCCTTTCGTATTTGAGATCTAACCCTAAAAAAAGTTTGAAATCACCGATTGAGTTATTGGATAGATTCTCCTATTACTGTTTTTTTAGTTTTTTTAAATTAATATAGATATTCAAATTAACTTACGTATACTTTAATTAATTTGATAAATTTTAAAATTAATAAATATATAAATTTATAGTAGCTCAAACTAATAATTTTTTATGAATAAATTTAAAATCTAATCCGTTAAACTATATTATACTGCATGATTGTTTTTTATTTTTTTAATGTTTATCTAATTAAATTTAAATTAAAATAATTTATTTATTAAAAAAATATATACCCTAAATAAATTTAACAGTTAAATTTCTTATTCAAATCAATTAGAAATTAACTTAGTTTAAATCAGGTTTTGAATTCTAGATTTCAAGCATTAAATCACCCTTTTCAATTTCAGTTAGGGATGGTTTATGAGAGAGGCTGGCTGCCCTCTTACGTGACTATATTTTTCTTTAAGTATAAGGTTGCCATTGCTTATATTTATATGTTCTTGATGCAAGAACATGATGACTTTAACCCTAATCCATGCTCTTCAGAGTGAGTGATCCCCCATGTGCTCGAAAGGGAGGAGCAAAGATCATCATATGCACCGTATACATAAGATATTACTATTAAAAGAAGATATATTTTACTTTTCTTTAATAATGATAAAGCACAACTTTATACGATTTTTATTACATCTACCAAAATTAAATATATATTTTCTTAAGCAATATTATTAAGAACACTCTATTATATTGATCTCTTTTAGTACAAATAATTTATAATTTGACCTAATTAGTTTCTCAGAAATTAGATTAGCATCAATTAAGGCTTGAAATTAACAAGAGACATAAACTTATTAATAAAACTAAAATTAACAGCACACATGATGTTGTAAAACTTTTCAGAAACAAATTATTATTCTTATTTATTTTGAGTTAAACTTTAAGTAATATATAATTAAACTATTTTAAATAATTTTGGTA